GTTTCGCCCTCCAATATATACCCATGATACTTATTATAAATTGATCATTATGCATTTCAAAGCTAACTTAAGATAATTAAAAAGAACACAGTACAGCTATAGATAGAAAGCCTTAATTCTTCTCCTGCCAGGCTATTATTATTTCCAACACATGGTTTCTCCAACCACAGACAGCAGTCGTGACTTACAGTCAGTGGCATACAAATCCTTCTATCGACACAAACTTGTTCTCAAGGTCTCTCCCAATCTTTTACGATTTTCCTTATAAGCTCAGCCATCAAGCTAATCCCATAAAAATCTTTCAAACTTATAATGAATTTATTCAACGATTTCGTCCAAACTTTTCTCTTTGTTATACATTTAAAGGTTTTTTCTCTTTTATATTGAGGATGAAACAAAGAACTTTGAAGATCGTGATTGTTATCAATGTCATTTTGAATTGAATATGAGCTACTTATCCTGCGTGTTGAGATCGTTAGACAGACTACTGACTATGAACTTCATAATGTGAAATAATCTGTCAAATGTGTAGTAAAGTAGGTAGTAAAGTAGGTACTTAGAAAGGGCAACAGATACACATTTGACATGGGTTTTATGTTGTTATTTAATCTAAAAATGAAAGTAAAAATAGAGGAAGCAGAGCAGAGAGCAAAGGGGAGCGGCTAGATGGACGATAAAATACATGTATATTGAGTTCATCAAAAATTGCGAAACCATTAAGAAAATAAGCACGTGCTAAACATAAATAGACACAGGCAGTAACAGCTGGTCTCTGGTATATAATAACACTAACAACGGGTTCTGTCTCATTATCATCATAATTTGGCGAAGGTGAACGCACACTGTTTGTAGACAAATTATACTTTTTTGTTCCAACCAACTTTAGAATATTATTATGTAACTAAAGTAGCAAAGCACGCAGATTATATCTCTGGTACAGCTATGAGTCATCAATACTAAAATATACTAACTACGGTAATTAGTACGCATAACAATTACAATTGTAACTCATTCATCTATTTCTTAAGTCCCTATGAGTCACTTATTACAAGTAGATACTAGTGACATTATACTACTACCAATAGACAACAGGAACTCTCTTCTAGAAACTATTTAAAACTGTAAATTTTTGTACTGAGAGCATCAAGGCACAGTGTTACAGTGACTAGGAAATCAGCAGCTGCGCTACGACAGTTAAGTTCTTTCCGGGACTAATTCATGTTTATTCACCAGTCGAAAATCTAACTTAGGACATTGTGTTTAAAAAATCAAGACAATCGGCGAAGCGTCACCGATTCACGGTAGATGTCCCACCCACACGCACAAAGCGCTTCACATCAAGCTTCCTTGTGCGTACTACTAAAGAGTGGAATTGTTTGCCAGTCTGTATTTCCTGAAGGGTATAAATGGGACGACGTGCTCCATGGTAGACCGCATCATCGCTTAACACCAGGCGAGACAGTGGTCAAACGTCGACCCAATATAAAAAAAAAAAACTTCTCAGTCTCACGAGTAGGTACGTAAGATACCTTAGTAACTCTTAATCACAGCATTGCAGTGGCCATTTGCTCCATAATTAAAATGTAAGCAAACTACACAAGCCATTTTATCCTTTATACGAGTACTCCTCATTATAGATTCCATTATCGGCTGATCAGTACTTACTGAGGCAGCTCTAGCTAATAATCGACTCGCTACCAAAGAGTTTGTATTGGATAAACTTGGAAATACAGGGAAAACTGGCAATTAATGCTAATTGACACTGAACGAAGGTAAACTAATCGAGTTTATAGTACTGAGATTAATATTGGATCTTTGAATTATTTATCCGATATTGATAAATAATTATGTTCTAATTTTAAATCAGAAGTGTCATTTCAATAGTATTTTAATATATACATTACCTATGTTTTGTTAAAAACAAGAAAGTTGTAATTAAATCACATTTTGATCAATTATCGAGTCTAAATTTTTACTGGCATCAGTTTCTCTCTGTCTTTGCAGTTTGTCTTTGCGTTTATCGATTTTAGAGTTAGATTAGAATAGAAGTAAGTAATATAAGAACCTCTCCAAAACTCTTCAAATCAGTTTTCCATATATTTATCAATCAGACTGATTATTATTTGTATTCAGGTACTTACAGATTAATGATTTGAAGTACCTTTGTGTGTGAATGCATTGTGTTTTCACCTTCATTCTGTTATCAAATAGTAATGCACTTGATAATGTTTGAGGTACTTTTATGAAGTGCTTGGAAATCTCAAATATATAATAATATAATGCTAAACAACAACAATCAATATTATGAGCATCGTATATTGTTAATCTGACATAATCATACAAGCCGCGAGTTTTGGTTAATGTGTTCTGATAATCTTTAGTACCTAGTTTTGAAAATATTTTGTACGCCAATTGGGGCAAGACATGTTGAAACTAAGCAAGCTATTTATGTAAGACCATCTACGTTTGCATTTATGTATAATGTTACACATGTTTACGCAAATAAATATATCTTTATCTTTATCTTTATCTTTATCTCTTCGCCCATCACACAGGTGCATATTTTATTTCAGTCTGTAATTTTACAATTAGATCTGTGAACAGTAATATTTATTAAAATCAACTCAAATATCCATTCAGAATACATAGGTACAGCATATTCAAGTTATTTCATATGCAGGTAAGAAAATAATATGTAGGTATAGGTAGATACGTAATTGAATGTAACAACAGCAATTTAATCAAATTTATTACCTACCAAATGACTTGGCTGACTGTACTCTAGCTATACGCATATGTAGTATATACTTAATTGACTGCACGGTTGGTGCGGTGGCTGGGGAACCGGCTGCCGTGGAACATGTCGCGGGTTCGATTCCCGCACGGGACAACACTTTGTGTGATCCACAAATTGTTGTTTCGGGTCTGGGTGTCATTGTGTATGTGACCTTGTATGTTTGTAAACGCACCCACGATACAGGAGAAAATCTTAATGTGGGACAAAGCTTAGTTAAAAATAAAAATTCAAGTCATCGATACAATGACACTCGCCAACCCTATACTTTTCATGGGCCAATAACTCTATGAATGTGGATTGGTACGAAGTGTGCGTTGGGCTGGATATCACGGGGTCATACATTCAATCCGCTGAGGAAAGGATCACTCGGATTTTAGAAACTATATTCAAGTCAATGAGTCAGCAATGTGAAAAGGTTTCCCCGTACCGATGCAGAGAGGTGGAAAAATATTATAATAGTTACTGTATGTTTTTTTTGATTGAATAAGTACATTATTATGTGTCTATGGTTTTGATGACAAAAATGATATTATCTAAATCTAATGTATTGCTTTACAATACCATATTATCTATAGAGTAGGCATTACCTCTATAGGTACCTACAGAGCTCCTCAATTATGATATACGGCTTTAGGTTCATCTTAACTTTGAGATACCGCTTTAGGCTTTCTCTAATTTTAGATTGTGACTAAAGGTTCACCGCAAATGAACCATATATGACTTTAAATTCGATTTTCGAATCGCAGTGTCGAACCATTAAGAAAAAACATAATGTCACAATCATCACTTTTTTTTTGTTTTTTTTTTTACACAAATTCACATTTGACATCATAAGAATCTCGCAATAATATTATATTTTATTTAACACAACATTAAGTATCGCTTTTATGAAATTATACAAGATTTACCTCGATCATGGTCATGCGCATGCCACTAACGACGGCAATTTACTTCGCGTGCGTACGCGCAACTGGAAATTGATCATTATGTGATGCGACGATTTGTTACAGAAAAAGTTGTTGTTATTTATATTATTTTCAGTCAGAATATAAAACACGTACCTAACTACATAAATATTTTATAATATTTTCAAGTCGTTTAAATGTTAAAATAAGCGATACGTAGATGTCTTCCACAAGGTGGTTAGTCTGTGAGCAAACTAAGTATACCTTAATAAACCTCAATTTTTTTTGTTGTAATAAAAACGTTACCCCACATTAGGATTTTCTCCTGTATCGTGGGTGCGTTTACAAACATACAAGTTCACATACACATGACACCCAGACCCGGAGCAATAATCTGTGGATCACACAAACAGTAGTTTCGTGCGGGCATCGAACCCGCTATACGTTGCGCGGCAGCGAGTTGCCCACCCACCGCACCAACCATGCAATTAATTTAATCAAAAATTGTAGTCTCACGTGAGAAAACTATAAGTACTAATATGCAGAGAGAAGTATTAGTACCTATTCCTAAAAACGTATAAGTGAAACCCTCATTAAATATTCGACGTAAATCCCAAAGTTCTAAACACATCAGCTTGAAATGACAACGATACCAAAAACGAACGCAAAAAGTTTCACCAGAAAGCAAACTCTGGGAGTTGTAATTAACGGGTTTTTATCCTCGAGGGATAAAAGAGGTACCACGTTTATATTAACTCTGATTTATTTGTTTTAGGACCAGGGATTCTATTTGCTTCGTGTTTTATTTTCGGAGTCCAGAGAGGAATAAAAACGGTTGGGTAATTCCAGATGCAGTTCCCTACTTTGTGTCCGATTTATAAGGATCCTATTGGCTCATGTCAGATTTTACTTGATTTATTATTTTTCCAAGCCTTTCAAAGTATTTGTGGTTTTACTAGAAGTTCCCAAAACAAAATGTCGGGCTACAAAATAAACAAACTACCAGTAGGAGACAATGTATAAAATAGACCGCAGAAAAGAGGTTTTATTTCATTCGAAGTCTCTATCTAGACGTTATCAAATGTCCGTAGCACTCGTCCGCACAGACCTTATTGTAAATAAATATCCTCGTGTAGAAAAGTCTTTGGTTGCCAGATTAAACAATCCTACTTCCTATGTCGACATCTTTATATACGAACACCTTTTCATTCAATTTTATTTGCATCTTTTTGATATTAGAAGTTTCTGATGGAAAACAGGTTTTCCTTACAGTTAACTAACATTGATAAGTAACATACCTGATTCCCAAACACGCCGATACTGCAGGCAGACGAGACCTGATCAGCTCCGAACCAGACAGCTGCCAGACGCGGTGGCACGTTGAGTATGAACACCTGGGAGACAGCCACCACAGTCTGGCCAGTGAAACCCAGCCAGAACATGTCCTGGGGCACGGAGAACACCTTCAGCCATGCTCCCAAACACGTCCCGAACGAACCGATGATTGTTGTCACGCGAAGGTTCTGGAAAGAAGAGAATAGGGTCATATGGATGTTACCTAATTTTACACAATATTTAACATAAAATCAATAACTTTATTTTTACATAAACAACGAAATATTAATTTAAGTATAAGTAGATATATCCGCTGTTTCTCGCCTTGATTTCAAGTTATTTGGGGTCTGTGCACAATAAAAAATTGTGTACGAATAGGTAACTTAAAATAATTTATTATTCGTTAATATGAAACATAAATTCTATACCAGAGTAACATCCAATATGCACTAAAACCTCATTAGCGAGAGAGTTCATCCTTAGAGGATTACACCTTGTTGGAAAATAAACAAAATAATTCCGGTTCACATTACCTGGTAATTTTGGAGAAAATTAATGTGTAATCTCTCATTTTGCTTGTTTACTCCGAACAGAACATAGAGAATTTCATTTTATGGTCTTAAACACCTAAGTGGGTACTTACTACTTAACACAACAACTGCGTAGAAAATTATGAATTAATAAGTAGATACTTATATTAGCATAGAATCATTACTTATGATAGACAATTATAATGATAATCATTGTAATCCTTTTTTGTCACATAAGAATAACGAGTTAATGTATTTACCTGGCCATGTACCTAATAAGTATCTCCTTATGTCGGTCAGATATTGGGAGCCTACGTAATTAAAGCAGGCTCATGAATTAGCTAAAACAAATTAGGTAACTAAAATACATCGTATCAGTGATTAGATCATTGTAACAATTCGATTTGAAGTTACAACAGCCTGTCTTATTTCTCTCTGGTTTTTTCTTATATGTTAATTAGGTAGAGATGTATTATGTTATGAGTAATACAATCGACCACATCTTAAATACCACTATGAATATAAATTCTAAAACCATTTGGGCAAATTGTACCTAAGACTGGTATTGGAAATTTACGCTACGTATTCAGATTACTACGTATTCAGCAATAGGCTCACCCCTATGACCTGACTTTGACTTTGACTTTGACTTTATTAGAAACTTATAGATATAATATACTGAAAAGTGGGTGTTGCATTGTACTGTGGCATTAAGTGCCGTAATGTGCACCTCTGCCTATTTCTTCGGGGATAAAAGGCGTGATGTTATGTTGTATGTATGTAGTAAAATAACTATTAGATGGTTTTAGTGCGCAGTAGTTAAACAGGTAGTAAATACATGCACCATAACAAAAATAACCTTGTGCAAAAACAATAGCTGTCGCAAAAAGTTCAGTCCAAACTTGTCTTTTTTGTTATGCAAAGTAACATGTCTGGATTTTTTGTACCATAATAAAATCTGTAAGAAATTAACATGTAAGAAACAATAACTAAATGTTACATACATTCTAATATTTAATGTATTTCCAATAAATGAGTTTGGGACTTGAATAAGACATTAATAGCTGTTTTCATCAACACAATCCATAAACCATCTCTTAACTATGAGTTACAGTTAAACTAACCCCTTACTTGTACTGTTAGGTGTCACTTACAGGTTTGGTGAAACCAAAATTTCACCTTAGGGGTTCCTTAACGATTAACATTTAGGAGAGGTTGCACAAAACAGGGATTAAAGTCATGTTTCTAAGAAGAAGAAACAAATATAGCAGCATTATGTATTCAGTTACTACTAAACGAACCTAATTATTATGCAACATACAGACACTACAGATCATATTATCTATATTGATTATTATAAATGAAAAATTGGTGACAAATGTTGTCTGAGATATAAATGCCATATTGCCGGTAACGGTAATGTTTGCAATGTTGCCAGGCACTGTGTTTCAGCCACCCATTGCATCAACTACCTATTATAAGCAATAAGTACTTGCAATTACTAATCCCGTTAATTCGATTTATTAACCTTCAGCTATGTCTTCATTGTTGGGCCGTTAAAAAATTAAATGCACTATTGTTGGTCTCTGATTACTTGAATACATAAATTGTTACTGCCCAGTCCATCATTGAAGTGTATTGTTGAAGAACAGGAAAATGTTAAAAACTTCATCTTGAGTAAATCACGTACTGTACCTAGTACTCCGTGAACCGTAGTAATTTATCAAAAGTTAAGTGCATTATTTACTTTGAATTAAACAAAATACTCCTAGTTAAAATTATGTAGGTAATACTATTCATTCGGCAATCAATATTCTCTACTCTTTCTGAACTCCCTATTATCTCTTCACGTGTCTTATACATAGGTTATATTATGCATCTTTAGCTAAATATTTGCCTTCAATACTAAGGCATATATCGGCAGTTAAAGATTAATCGCATAATCTATTTCATCTAGATTGGTAAAATATTGTATGAATTATGTGCATCGTTTGCCTACACTCCTTCTTCGGCTATACTTGGTCATTACTTCAAAAAGCATTTAGGTTTAGTAAATTTTATCTAGTAGGTATAATATAGTTACATAACGACACACATATTGTAGGTAACTCGGCCACTAGAGCCATTTTTAAAACATGTAAATAGCCAAGACAAACAAACCAAATGAAGCTATCAGCGTTGTTCACATCGTGTAATCCAGAAATATGCAAAATATTTGCGATTTCACTTTAATAGTGGACAGAATTAATTTGTATGTTTAGTTCACTCCTTATTAGAGTTTACTACTTCGCTTAGAGCCAGGAAATGTAAATATTATTTGTACCCAGTTAGCGGCTATAGTAACACGTATCTTCTAATCTGAAGTGAGATGAACAATTATTAATGTTTAGTGATATACCGACGGTAACGTGTACTGCGAAATAAGTAGGTTTGATGAATGAGGAGTTTAGAAAATGCTATCTTTAACCTAATCCATTACAACAGTAACGTACTGCACCTCTAAATTAATACCGCTACGGCTATGACTGCTACGAGATTTTCACAAAGTTTATTAATGTCAAAAAAGGAAGGCTTTTTTACATCAATGGAATTTTCTACACGAATATCCTGAAAACTAACAGTTTGTTAATACGATCATGTCATGTCAAAGACAAAAAAGTTATGTATTTAATATTTAAGTATCAACACGATTCAGGTCCCAAGTTTTGTTGAAAACATAAGCGAGTCAGTACATTTTACGACCAATTACGAGAAGTGGATGTTTGTGCAACTAAAATGTTGTTAACACGTTCAGAACTAGGAAAACTGCAAACATATGAGATTATTTTCGAACTCGTGTACCAATGAGTACCTACTAGGCATCTAGAATAATTACAGCTCCAAAAGTAATTACAAAATTCTCGAGAGAATTTGCTGCTCATGAGGAAGAACCCCTCTGTGGTTCGAAACTAGTAGAGCTTTTGTCAGTATTCTCACGACAGCAACCCGCGATTTTTAGTCAATTATTAAATCTGTTTAATTACTTATAGTAGGTATACGGAAACCAGCGCAACTTTAGGAAGAAAAATGTTAAACTATTCCCTCTCTAGCCAAGCTTTACTAATTAAGATGTAACGGCAAGCTGGAAAGGGTTGCACACCTAGATAAATTCAATAATAGTAACGCTTCCTGCTAGCTGCTAGTAACTGAGCGGAAAATAGGTAAATATATCTTTCCCCTGATCCAGTTGTAGATACGACAACTATCCAATAACGGCAATGTACTCAGACCAACCAAAATATGATTGTGTTATTTATAGCATTCATTACTTTGCGGTCAATCCACAGACCTCGGGAAGAAAACATCAAATCTACTACATTATTTGAGCCCATTCCAAGTATTTCATCTTCAAATAAACGTTTGAACTCTTCAGCTTAATAACTCTGATATTTTGTGGTAATAAAACTTTCACTGTAGGATTTTCAATTTAGGATTTGGCGTTTTCTAAAGTCGTTTTATTATTTTGTTAGTTATTTCTCGTTAAGCAGCTTATCGGATCCAAACTCTAGGAGATGAGGGCCCTTGGCCAATTAATCTTGAGAATGGCGGCACTTGAAATCTCTTCTGTTTACTTCCAGTGGGTATCTATGGCAATGTTGTTACTGAAACTTATTTTATAGTGTTTGTTAAGCTTGAAGTAAGTACCGATTCTGATTCGGAAATCGGGTCAGGTCGTTTTTATTTACTTTTTGATTAAGTACTATTTTTTTTATTTTGTTTAATAACCATTGCCCCACAATAAGACCTCCTGTGTCGTGGTTGCATTTATAAACATACAAGTTGACATACACATCACACCCAGACCCGGAACAAAATTGTGAATTTGTAACCTGTGTTGGTTATACACCAACACAGGTTACAAATTCACAATTTTGCTCGTTTACATTAAGGCTATTATCAAGAATGTACTAAATAGATAACTTTTTTTAAATATCTTCTTTCTATTGACATTGACTTTGACTTTGCATCAAACACGAGTACACTGTAAATAAAATAAACAATGCGACACGTCATTGGCTTTATCTCGTGGGTAACGCCATTTCATTTATTTATCAGTTACATTGACCGTCAGACCAGTCATAAGTAGATAGTTACTTTTAATATACAAAGTAACAGGTTGGTATCATGATCTGATCTACTGACATCAGAAAGTATGTTGCAGTAGTCGGGCGTGCTGCATAACTTCTTGGTTATTGCAATTGTGGACTGTAGGATTTTTTTTACAACAACCTTTCCGACAACCTTCTACGTTCTCCGCGGCTCCGTATCAGCATCAGCTCTATTGGGTCCCATCCGTGGTGGTCTGATGGCTCTTTGAAACTGCTTGACTACTGCATTTGTGGACTGTAGGATAGGAGGTCTAGTTACGTCTTCTACCAAGTTCTATCTTTAGTATTTAAAGTGAAGGTTGAATTTATTTGTATCTATTGCGCCATCGTAGATACTTTTTAAGTGAAACAACTGTGTATGATGTCCAATTAGAGTATTTAGATTAACATTACATTAGGTTGATTAGATTATCTAATATCGGAGCTTTAAGAAAGGGTTAGCATTCCTGTAAAGCCATAAAGAATGAATAGACAGTAAACAAATTTTGTCAAAGACACTTTGGTGATCTT